ATATTAGTTTGATGCCTAATTGAAACTCAATTTAACAAACTTTCTTCTGAAACAATTTTTAAAGACATGATCAAAATGTTAGCGTTAGGCGATCACCATAGAAAAATACATAAAATGCAGTGTTGTTAAAACCTTGAGGCGCTGAGATGATTAACCTTCATACCCTGTTAATGTAGCCGAACCTGTTGGCCTTTATTRGAACGATCTCGCATAACAGCGGTATCAAACCTCCAGCCTCCTACAGTGCGATAAGACATTTATGTAAGATGAACTATTGTTTTTTTTCGATAGGAGGGAAACTTGTGTGTGCTCTCAGCAGTCGCTATAGTGTTGTAATCACAGAACTGCCTGCAGCGTGTAGCAACTGTCATTCGGTTATTTAGTGGTTGTTTTAGACTCGGTGGATTTTGGCCAAGCTAAARCAAAATCTCTCCAAATCTGGACCCAGACAGTCTGTAATTCACCACATTAAATCCCAGTCTGCTCATCTTAAAACCTACACTGAAAATGGGTTTTGTAACCTAAATTCAACTTGTCGTCTCTCGGGTTTATTTTCAAACATTTTCTTAACATGTTTAAAGAACAATGCAAATTGAAAAACATAATAATTACTTTWAAAGCATTTAATAAATGTATCCAGGCATAAAAAGGGTCTGATGGGGAACCACAAATGAAGATGGAGATTTTGATGCTAAGAGTGAAGCTGTGGAAATCCAGAATCCAGCCAAAACTAGCCGAAGGCAGCTCCATGCAGTGTTGCACTGACTTGGCCCAAAGATGGTGTAAATGGAGATGGTCTGTCAGTTTGTTGAAATAACACAGGTATATCAGGAGGTGGGGGCTTCTTTTACTTTTGTTTTGTCATTTTTATCTGCAGAATATCAGAAAATACCTGCAGAGTTTTTTTTAGTTATTTGTTTGTCRTTTCAGATCTTCTCCCAAAGCTGATGAAAGTATTTATTCATTGCTTTATCGTGTAGTCAGGAGGTTTCAGAAGTCGTTATTTCAGTCTGTTACTCCTTTTCAAATGCAAGCATTGCCTGTGTGGGTTTCTCTAAAATATTATCCTAAATATTATGAGGTTTGAGGCATTGATGTTTACATTTATTTTGTCAGAATCATTCATTTTACTTCTTAACCACCTTCATTTTAGACAAATAAGACTCAATGTTTGTATTGATGTCATGTCTTTAGCTGTAATTTGTCGCCCGGTTTGATGAGATAATTTCTATTTGTTTCATCGGAGAGCCTGTGCTTCAGGACATGAATAGGCAGATGGAGAATCGGTGTACTGAGCAGCTGGTTGGATTTAAGTAATCTGGGGGAGAGGACATGTTCTCATTGGGTTTAAGGGCAGTGCTCAGCTCACTTGCCATCAGTCTTCCAGGCCACTAGAACAATTTCACAGTAATAAAAAAAATACTTCTCCATCTATTACAGTTCTTTTTACATATTAATGGCTTAAATAACTTGCTCGCTGATCAGTACCATAAGTTTAACTCAAATTTTGCAGTACAACCAAACTATTATTTCAAATACAGCAGAAAATATAAAACAAAGTTGCCTTTTTTTGTTGTTGTTGCTATGAATGAAAACAAAAAAGGCGTTTTTAATAGCTTGGTCAAAATGCAGATCCAAAGCCTATTGTGATATTAAAACTGAAAAATGAATGCTTGTAAACCTCACTGGGCTGAGGCAACATTGTTCAGCAAGATTGGACAGAAGTGAAGTGATAGGGTGATAAAAAAATGATGACTGAAGTTCTTCCTGATGTTGGTCGTTTTGCAGTGTCATGATTTATTGGGCAATAGATGGGTTTTCATAAACTACTTCTGCATTTTGCCTTAGTCTTTTTATTTTGTTTTTATAAATTTCTTCCTACATGGTTTACATGTTATGGCTCATCTATTTATTTGACAAATGTGAAGAACTGGAATATGAGGATTAAGTTTAAAAACTTCAAAAATCTTTTTTCTTTATTATTATTATTACTCAAAAAGTAAATTTGAAGTTGACAATTTTCTGCAATAATTTGTAAAATGAACAGAAATTCTAAATGCATTCTAAAGTCAGACATTTGGATAACCCTTTTTTGTAAATTAGCTTCACACTAATAAACCTGTTGAATTTAAATTAACTTTAACCCGGTATTACAAGTTTATGAACTAGTTGTATTTGTTTAAAGTTTTGCCTTGTCACTGTTGTATCGATTTCTATTCTGGGAGCCATTGTAGCGCGATGAAAGCGATAGAATGCTTAACTTCCTGTGTTCGGTGTAAAACAATAAAAACATCAGAGCCGGTTTGCTTGGTCATTGTTTGCTTGCCTGCCTTTTTTGCCGATTCATTTCCCAGCCTGCTCTCACAGCTTGTGCTTCGATCTGATGTTTACACAGACACACACTGATGGTAACGGCAAGATTTTTACTATAATGTAGTAGAAGATACTTTTTCTTAATGAAGACAAAACAGAGCAAACAAATCTTTTTTTGCTGATCACTTGCAAGATGTTTTGGAAGACGTGGACAAGTTTGAAAGCATGGGAAGATGAATAAAGGCAGCATACCGCTTGTGTAATTAAATACTTGGGAAATTTCCATCAATAGAAGTTGGAGTCGGCAGGAAAAAAAGTGATTTAGATTTTATTTTAAATCAATAAAGCTCAATGTCATTGTCTCAGAGGCGTCCGGGCTCAATAACAAAGAATGGACACACGTCAATGATGCCACAAATACAGATTTCTATAAATACACAATTTTCCATTATAAATATTTATCTGGATTAATATTTTGAAGTATTAAATCCAATTATATATTGCAGTCCAAATTATGCAGTTTTGTTGAATAAATATGGATAAACTTGCTCTTAAATTAGCTTTCTTAGAAAAATAAATTGCTACAATTTCTAAATGACCAAAAGCTCAGTGAGTTGTGAGGCTCGTCCTGAATAAAGGGTCGTTATTGGGAGGAATTTTAGTATTTAAAATCTTTGGTTTAATACCACAAATAAAATGCTTGTGCGCGTTCGAAAGACTGGTGACAACAAGAATCTGTATGACTGTTCACGTTGATGGCAACAAACCAAACTTGATGCAAATGTACCAAACAAAATGCTGCTTTCCATCCACTCCCACAGTTGCCAAGATAGAGCCGCGTTTGTGTTTCCACTGTAGGCGTTCAGGCTTTTTCGGTGTCAGAATGTGAAGTAGGAATGTGTATGTTCCAAACGAACTGGTATTTGTCTTGAAAAGTCAGAACAAATTTTGATACCGGTGTTATGGGCTTGATGGTGGAAGATGCACAGGTAAAGTGCTTTCCATCATGAAGTTTTACCTCTTTATATCGGAGCGTAATTGTTAAGGAAAGCTGCTGCCCTCTGAAGCTTTGGTAGTGCTTGGTTGGGCTGTAAACTCCAAACTTATAAATTGTTATTTTTCAAAATATCTGTGTGTATTATATTATGCTGCTCTGCTGCCAATTATGGTCGGTATTGTCAGAATGTGTAAAGCAGTGTTTAAATTCTACCTCTTTGAGCAGTCATATCCCAAGTATTTTTGTTTTAGGAATAATTTAACTAGGATATTCATTCTTTTTTTCAAAA